TCGTAGAACTGGACCACGTCCCGGATGTCGGAGCGATCGTCGGTGAGCGAGGGCCATTGGAGGTCCGTCTTCACGGTCGTGATCGACGTCTGACCTCCGCGAGACGCCAAGGCCTCCTTGAGCGCCTCGGTCTGGGCCGCCAAAGCTGCAGCGAGCTCTCCGGCTCCGCCGCTGGCGGAGTGAGGCTCGCCGGGCTTATCCTTCTTAAGCCCTTCGAGCTCTATCTCCAGAGCCGCAAGGCGGGACTTCAGGGGTGAGTCCCCCGGACCAGGTTGCGGATCCTCAGGGATCGCGAGCTGAAGGTCCACCGGGAGAGGCGCCGGTGCTCCGGACTTAGAGCCCGACTCCGCAACGGCGCCCGTCCGGGCCGCCAGGGCCGGGACAGAAGAAGGAGTGCTCCAAACCTTCTCGGGATCGCCGCTGCTCTTGCCTCCCAGGGCCAAGATCAGCTCGCCGAGGCACGAGATCTCCTTCTCGACCTCCTCTCGGTCTTCCGACCCAAGAGAAACCGCGGCAACGGTAAACCTGGTGCGCAGGGCCCGCACCATCCTGGCAGGGTGCCAGTCACCTCCCATTTTGCCGTATTCCTCGGCAAGGATGGTGGCCTTGGTAGTGATCTTCTCAAGATCCTCCACCGTGACCTCTGCCTGGTGCGCCTTCAAGGCCACAACCAGCCTTGAAACCCGCGTCAGGTAATCCGCGACCGGTTCCTGGTCGGGACGGTAGAGCTCCCGCAGGTCCGCCTGCAGGGTCTCCGCCGTGACGGGACCACCCGTCCCAGCAGACGAGGGAGGCCCGGAACGGGCCGGGCCGCCGGCCACCGGCGAGAGAGCAAGCGCACCAACACGGCGCGCCGTCTCGGCCACGTCCGCCGGCGCAGCGGCAGGACGCGGAGCCGGTACCCCGGCCTCCGGCAGAAGCTCTTCAGAGCTGGGGCCCGGATCGCCATCCTGAGCACCCGGGCCCGCTTCCGCAGCTGGAGCTTCCTCATCTTCCTCTTCATCTTCTTCCTCTTCCTCTTCGGCATCGAAGTTGTCGTAGAGGAATTCCATCGTCTCCTTCCACAGACGCTGTTCATCTGCTAGCGTCGTGGATCGTCCGTCCTTCTTCTTGGTGGGACGGGACCCCGTTTCCTTACGCCAACGGAGCCAGTACATAAAGGGCATCTTCTCCGGGTACTCCACTGACCCATCCTCGATGCACCTCAGCAACGTGGCTCCTTCCGGCTGACCTGCGACCTCAGCGCTCATGGTCGCCTAGCGAAGGAGAGAGCCCCGTGCCACACAGGACCACGGCCTCAAGGCGCACGACAAGCGCGCCTTCGAGGCCACGTTAAAAGATTGCGGCGCAGCAGCCGCCTGGGTGGCCGTTTCCCAGAACAGCCCCCAATTGTGGAGAACGGAAACCCAAAGGGGCAGCACGCACCCTCGTTTTCCGTCCAAGCAGAAAGTCCAACGACCGTGACAGGTCGAACGTCCGCCCAGGACGGGCTGCGCGCAATTGCGTCGCGGCAACGAGAAGCTACCAACGACACACTGCCGTGCTCACTTGAGCCAAAAATGTTATGAATACGAATTACAGAAGAGCATGCATAAAAGCATACAGCACAACAGCCAGCCCGCAGACTATGTACAGTTACAAACACTGATATCAGGATTAGGACTACTACGAACAATGACAGCAGTACTAAGAATAGAACCAAGAACAATACATATTAATCCTAACACTAATACTAGTACTAATACTAGCTACTAATTCTAATACTCATACTCATACCAATACTAATGTCACCACTACTGCTGCTACTACTACTGCTACTACTACGACTACTACTACTACTACTACTACTACTACTAGTACACATACTTAATACTAAAACTAATACTGATACTCATACTAGTCACTAATACTAATACTAATACTCATACTAATACTAATACCAATACAAATGCTACCACTACTACTACTGTGCGACAACGATTGCTAGTACGACGACTACTACTATTAACATCAATATACATACTTAATGCTAATACTAAGAGTAATACTAATTCGAATACTATTACTAATACTAAACATCCTAATATCAATACTACCACAAAACTTACCTTTTCGGTTTACTGTGGGAAAAAAGCTGAAACTTTTTTATGTGTTTTGGTATAATATATATGCTATAGACAATACTATGGTTCGATGGGATGAAAGGGTGAAAGCGCCATGGTTGGCAACCAGCGCCACCGCCAATGAGGCCGACCTGGGCGCAAGACAAAAAAGAAAAACAGCAGCACAGCCACTAAAGGGTTTACGGATCAGGTTACAGATGAAGCTTTGCTGAGCAATGGTCGCCGATTAAGGTTTGAGATAAACTATAGGGTTCGAGATTAGGTTCTGAGATTTCGGTTCGAGATTAACGTTCGAGATTTGCGTTTGAGAGTGAGGGTTTAGGGCTTAGTGTTTGAGATAGGGTTTTTGAGATTAGGGCTTGAGATTGAGGGTTTGAAACTATGGCTTGAGTTTAGGGTTTGAGATTAATTGCATTTGGAGCTTGGGTTTTGAAATCAATGTTTCATTGGGGTTTGGGCTTAGGGTTTGGCATTGGGCTTTCAAAGTAGATTGAACTTAAAGGTCGAGATTAAGTCAACATTTGTGAAGGCATTGTGGAAATTGCGGAGCTTCTGCCTGCAGTGACTGAATGCATGCACCGCCCTGGTCTTGTTTTCGCCGTATCCACTGCACTCGCTTCAGCCGCTGCCGCCGGCCCTTCCGCCGCTGCTGCTGCCGCTGCTGCTGCCGCCGACCGCCTGCCTGAGCTTCATATGAAATATGACACCGGAAAGTGCCAAGAATTCTGATTGCCATAAAATGCTTCTCAGCAACTGGCTGCTGGTCGTCAACAGATCGAAGCACTTCGGCTTGCGCTTCAAGTCGACGACATCATCGCACAGACCTGAAGCATCCAATCCACGGCGCAGCCGAAGAAGTTTTTGATAGGCAGGAAATGGCAGGAAGGACACAATGCTCAGATGCGGCAAAGCAACTTCCCTGGAACAAGTAGCCAATGCCGGAGCCGGGGTACACGGCATGCTTAATCCAGATGCGGTGTTCAAACTGCTCATGTGGAGGCAGCAAACCGCCCCTCGGCGTCGGCCGAGGCAGCTCCGTATCCTCGTCCCACCACGATGCCACCACTCTGCGCTTCGAAGAACTGCTCTGTTTCCAGTGCTTGCCCGTCTGAACTTTCCTGTCGCTCTTGAGGTTGTGACCACGAGTATTTCTCACATCACCTTAATTTAGTCCGGAAAGAGAAAGGAGGCAGCAGCCAGCATCCACAATGCTTTGGCTTGAGGTTTTGAAATGCAACCACGGCACAGCCATTGCACAGGGCAGGCGGCTTGCGCCTACTCCCAGCCCCGCAGCCGGGACACTTGTACGGAGAGCTCGGCATCGCACGGGAAGAAACCTGTCGATCCCAGGCAATGACGGTTTTGACAGTGAGGCTGATGATTTGCTGCTTCGGAGCTCTGTGTTTGTCCGCAGCTGAAAATCTGAAAAGACTCGCAGAGACCTTGGTCGAGAGAGATCGTCCCTTGTGCCCGCAATGCTGGGCATGCGAACACATGTGAATCTGAAAAGTCACGGCTTGCCATGAAATTACAAGTCTGATTCTGAAGAGTCACAGCTTGCCCATCACAGCTCAATTCAGCACATGTGTTAATTCGAATTCGCATGCAGCCTGGTGACGGCAGCTTCTCGGCACCCTTGAGACTGGCACCCTTGTTCACGACCGAACACCTGCACATGTTCGAAATCGCAGGACCCCCCTCGGGTCCACTGGACCCAAAGCAACACGTCACATTCTGAGGATTCCTCAGTAAAACAGACTGCTGAATAGGTACCTATGGAACAAGGAACATGAATAACTTTCTCGAAGTGTCTTCTTGCGGCTAGCATCTTCAGAACTATTCTCAGTGCCGGCAGCCCCTCTAGCATACATTGCACCACTCAGTGGGCTGTAAGCACTTCATCGATGAGCCTATCAGATTTGCCGGAAGCTTCAGATGCAGCTAAGTCATCATCGAGTCTATGCATTTTCTCAAGTCACTCTTTCTTGTCACAAAGCGAATGGAGGCCTGGAACCAATGGATTCAACCGTGATGATGAAAGCACAGGACTGTGAATGCTATGTTAAAAACTTATTCTGAACTATGATTCATGTCATAGTTACCTTGCTTTTCGAAACTGATGCATAATTTGTCGTTGCATATCGAATTGTGGTTGTCCTGGTCATGTCGAATTGTGGTTGTCCGCTTCACTTCGTGACGTAAAAAAAAATGTTGACGGCATTTGCGCAATTGAATTGGCCTCGCCGAATGCTGTCCAACCGCATGGTCGTCATCCGACGGGAGGCTGGGCAACCACAGTTTGGAAGGGTGGAGGGTTTTAGCCTCATATGAAATTGTGATTGTCTTAGGGTTTGCGGGCCCGCTGTCGGAGACCCCTGCCCAAATGTGGTTGTCCGTTGCCTGTTGTCTGTGTCTTTTGCTCATGTCTAAATGTGATTGTCCTACACGGCTCCTGGCGGCTGTGCTTGTGCCCAAACTCTATTTGGAATTGTGGTTGTCTGCGGCCCGCTGTCGGAAGCAATGCCTGGGTTAGGGGGCAACAAGAATGCCGAAAGAGCAGGCCAGCAATGCTTTTCCCAACGGATTCGGGTTTACAGATCAAGGTTTACGGATGCCCAGCCGACGATGGTGCGGAATCTCCAAAGAAAGCTGCACAAATGGATCCAGCTACCCAACATTGCCGCTACAAAACTGCAAGCCTAACTGGCAGACAACCTTTTCTGCATAGGCCCGTGCTCTTGCAGCTGTCACACATCTGGAGTCGACCACTTGGCTGCCCGTGTTTCAAAGGCAGCTGTCGCACACACGGAACCGCACAAAACTGCAGCTGCATCTGCCCGTCCTTCAAAAGCAGCTGTCACACATACGGGGTCCATCTCAAAACTGCAGCTGTGTTCGCAGCTCACTTGGCCGCATCTGCACGTGCTGTCCGGCAGCTGTCACACATGCACGTCTCGCAGAAAGTTGGTTTCCGCACCTCAAGGCGGCAGACGCAAGAAGATAGATGCCAGGAGAAGGGCCTTGAATACATGCCGGAATGTGCCGGGCCTTCTTGGCCCCTGGATGCTCAACTCGGAATCTTTTCGCTGCCAGTTTCGAGAGAAGGGATCCTGTAGCCATCGCTTCGGGAAGCTCTGCCAGGGAGCTGCGGTCGGAGGCGACAAGAAAGCCGGACTGCTGCAGGGCGTCCGACATAGCAGGGCTCATCTTTTTCCCACCGACCCATTCGCCCACCACGCAGAAGGATGGCGCTTGCACGAATGCCCACGGGAATCGGCCGTCGCGCCACCTGCAACAAGACACGTGCTAGAGACGGAACCCGAAGGAAGACGGAAGCCGACCTTGCCGAGGCTCGGCATGTGATTGTCCGCCTCAGCATCCACCCCGTTGATGTAGGACCAGATCATGCCAGCACCTGCAACAAAGATTGAAATAGATTGGAATGTGCCCCGCGAGCTTCCCCAGCCTTCTGGCACTCGACCGTCGCCCTTCCACGCGGACATGACCAAGGTCGGACGGAGACGGCCGGCGCCGGCAGCAGTCATGCCTGATGCTCCTCCCTTAGGGTCGTAGATAATCTTCACCCGGTTGAAAGCGACGGCATCCTTTGTCTCGCTACGAAGAATATGGCAGAGTCCCCTCAGGACCCTGGGGCAAGAGGTGTTCTTTGGGTTCAGTATGTACTCATCTTTCTTCTCCTTCTTCTGCTTCTTCTGCTTCTTCTTTTTGTCTGTAGCATCTGCCGGCTGATTCTTGTCCTGCTTTTCCCGCTTCTTCTTCTGGACTCCGAAGAACCTGGCAAACCATGAATTCTGTGCCTGTTTGGGGTCAGCTAATCGTGGGGCCCGGGCATGCTCCGCCCCTTTTTCTTGGAACCCAAGGACCTGGGCAAAACGACATTGCAACTCCTCAGCCAGAGAACCTTCCGAGCCCTCCACACATCCCCGGGCTCGACCAGCGAGCAGAGGTCCTCTACGAAATCCTGCCACCCGCACGTCGCTCAGAATTGCGCTTCAGGCACGGTCGCCAGCCTTTGTCTTGGACAGAATCGCATCCAGGCGGATCTGAGTAATGTCTGAGACTCGGCGCCTACCTCATGTAGAGATGTGTAATGGATAAGTAGCAGTAAGTAGCAACAACATTGCAGCGATTCCCTCCTGCTTATGAGGCCCTCACGTCTGTTCGAAGCGTCTCCCAGCTGTACAGCTGCCAGGGCCGCGGCAGCTTTCGAACTCATGAGGTTCAGTGCCCTCCGCAAGCAAAGACCCGTATCACAAAAACTTGAGCGGCTGACAAACAACAGGGTGACCAACCATGCCACTCAATGTGTGATTTGCAGCTGCTTTCCCCAGCTTTTAAGTTGTCACCGCGGACAGCAAAGATCGCTGCTGCCTAACTCCGTCCACAGTGGCCCAAAACGGCAGTCACTTGGCTTCGACAGGAAAGATGAAGAACTGATTTCTACGACAGCATGCCTGTGGCCACATGGACTAGCAGGAACATTAAGATTTAGCTCTCGTTGGAGTCGTTAGAATCGGACCCATCCTCGTCGTCATCGCTGGGCGGGAACGCCTTTTCGGCACTTGCCTTCTTAGGCTCGCTCTCAGCCTTGGGCTTTGTGTTCGAGCCGCCCTCTCCGGTGGTTTCGCTTTTGGCAGGCGCCACCGGATTTGATGGCACGGGATTCGAGGGAGCCGGGTTGGAAAAAGCAGTGTCCCTCGCCAACTCCTCCACGACGGAGTTCATGAGCAACTGCATGTGACATGTGTTGCGTAAGATTGCGATGCAGCTCACCTTGTCTTTGACGGCAGCCACCACTGCTGCTGTCTCTGGTGTCCACAGGACGATGGAGTGCAAGCGGAAGGTATGAAACAACTCCCGATAGAGGATCTGGTGTCTGCCGTTGACGTGCAACGGCACCAACTCCTGCATCGCACAACAAGAAGAGCTCTGGCCAAGTAAAAACAGCAGTGCTGCAAGGAGAATGCTCAATACAATTTTCAGTCCTCCTCAGATCGGGACGACCTCCTTCTTCTCATTCATGGTCAGCATGATCTGACTTTTGATTTTCTTTTCGACCATCGGCAGCTGTGCGGGGTCTGGCAAAGGAATCGGCAACCAGGGGCAGGAGCTGTCCGTACCTGTGCCGATGAAGCGGTGTTCTCGTGCAATCAGCGGAGGCGCTGTGAAGATCAAGGTTTCCTTGCCCACGATGGTGTTCAGGCAGAAGGCCCTCTTGCGCTTTTTCGCCGGTGCCCTAAAAATAGAGAGAGAGAGAGAGAGAGAGAGAGAGAGAGAGAGAGAGAGAGAGAGAGAGAGAGAGAGAGAGAGAGAGAGAGAGAGAGAGAGAGAGAGAGAGAGAGAGAGAGAGAGAGAGAGAGAGAGAGTTTTAGAGAGAGACTTTGAGAGAGAGAGAGAGAGAGAGAGAGAGAGAGAGAGAGAGTTTTAGAGAGAGACTTTGAGAGAGTTTGAGAGAGCGAGCGGCACGAAGGATTCTGGCAAGCTACGTGTCATGGCCACCGGGCCCACACTTGGCTCGCCGCTCAAGGTCCTCCTGCGAGCTGGGCATGAGCAGCAAGGAATTCAGCGTCGCATTGGGCACGTTGAGCTTGTTCATCTGCTTTTTAATCTCACCGTTCGCTTGGCTTGACCCCACGTCGAAGACCAGCAGGGCATCCTGGGCGCTAAAGGCAAGAAATGACGGCAGTCAATATGAATGAGTCCCTGAGACACGTGGGCATGGAACCCTCACGACGCCTTGTCCTCCTTGGCCTGTGAGCCGAAGATCTTCACCACATTGGCCCTTGCAATCCAGCCCACACAGTCGGAATCTGAACATTGCACAAAAACAAAACCCCCCCGTTGCAGCAGAGTCTCAAGACGGATTTGCCGAATGGTGGAGTCCGAGAGTAGATGTTGTGACTCCGCGAAAAAACTTCCGAGGGTTCAAGGATGAGACCACTGTCGAACATCCACCCCCGCACTTTGCCAGCAGATGTCACGCCGTCGGGCGGCAAAAGGCTGGAGGCACAGCCAGCTAAGGCCGTCTGGACACTGCTCAGGTTGGTGATGTCCGCCACCACGAACTTGCAGTACCGCAGCACCTCGACCTTAGCCTTCTGGAGGTCGGAGGCCGGCTTGGGTTTTGGAGGAGGGGCGGCAGGCTCTGCGGCGGGCCCAGACACATCCTTGTCGCCCCAGTCACCTGACAGCTCTTTCAAAATCTCCTCAGCATCAGGCAGGGCAGCAACCGGAGGGAGCGGCGTCAGATGCACGGCATTGTGCCTCGGCTCCAAACAGATTGTGGCCATCAAGAAACACAGAGATTACCATCAATCCTGGAGTTTAGTCCACGTCCAGCGGCTCCTCGATTGTAGTTCTGGACCCGCGAGTCCGAAAAGCGGTTCACAGCAGTGTCGTGAGAAGCCACCACGGCATACATGGTTGGCAAACAGTCCAAGTCCAAGAACTGTTTCAGCAAAAGCAGGACGGCTGCCTGTTCGGCGGTTTTGCCTAAGAAGGCTTCTTGGTGGATGTCGGCGACGCCGCCACCCGAAAGCTTGAGGCTTTCCGGATTCACGTAGGTGGAAAGGAGGTCTCTCCACTCCGAAGATTTCTCCCTCTCCGTCGTCGACTCTATGATTGCCTGCAAGCGGTCTTGAGCAAGAGAAATTAAACGAGACGGAGGTTGCTGACCCAGCCCGCCTGCATGCATTGGCGGGTGCAAACCAAAGCCTGAAACGTGTCCAGCAGGTTGTCGCGGCTCATCTCGTTGACGGCAACTCGGAAAGTTTGTGCCGGGTTGTCGCCCTTCATCCCGATATACAGCTGTCCTGAGGACAAAGTTTCAGCGACAATCTTTTAAAGCATGCGGGTGGGGCCAGAATCAGTGTGATGGTGACAGATGCTGAGCTACCGACGAATCACCCAGCCGAACTCGTCGGGACTGCTCGCAATCCCCAGAACCCGAGTTACCTGGGCGTTGCAGGGAAAGGAACCGAGGAGAAGAAACATCAACTGGTATTTCATAATGGCTTCTTCTTGTAACATGTCCCATGAAAGTATAATCAGATGTTGCTCCAAAACCTAGTAACTACCGACCACCGGCTCGCCCACGTCGGGCTGTTGTTGCAGAACTGCATACTCTTCAGGAACTCCCAGCAGTTGGCCTCCTGGCATCGCTTTCTGAGCCTGAGCAATTTTGCCACCTTGTCTTCGGAGCTGACCTGACACAAAGAGAAACGTCTAGCAAGTCTGTGTGACAGCAGGTGCTTGGCAGCCTCGCTGTCGCCCGAGCCGAACTTCAGCCGCTGGTTCTTTACCTGCTCCTGGCGCCCAAGTGAACGAGGTGGAGGGGGGGGCGAGGAGAGGTGCGTGATCAATGAAACCAGCCCACCTGAAAGGCCAGGAAGAGCCCCTCCGCGTTCGTTGGTTTTCCGAGGCCAGCATGTAGTTGCTGAAGCCTTTGTAGCTCACCCATGATGGCGTATGAAGGACTGGCAAGACAACATAAGTCTGGCGACATGTACAAGCGATCACTCAGACGGCAAGCAAATTGATTCCCTTCCTGGCAGACTGCAGGCTCAAAGATCAAAACCCGCGGCAGCCAGCAGTGACACTTGCCTGGAAAGATGCGGCTTGCACCGTTTCTCCTCTCTTGTGAGATTCCCCAGAAAGCATCCGCACTGTCAGGAGAGCAGCGCACGAAGAGCAAAGGCAGGGCCTCGGTCGCGGAGTGTGGACCGGCAAAGAATGTTGGGGCATATGATTCATGTGACACCCAAGACACTCGCGCTCGCTTCGCGAACACGTCCTTCTTGGGGTCATCGGTTTCCAGCAGGTGGGCCCATTCGATGACGAAGGCCGCCAAGTGCGGCAAGTGGCTCGTTGGAGTGAGCTCTCCCCTCAGGGAAAAGCGGCTTGCATCATTCTCACCGGCCTCTTGGTCTCCGCCTGGCAGAGAACCATGGTGCACGGCAAAGGGTCAATGTGGTCCTTTCTGAGATGGAAATCTCGTGCATCGCACAGAATCGCACATATCGCCCCACGACAGAACGCAGCCCGGGCCGGCTCGTTCCCAGTTCAGGTCACCGAGCACTCCACACCCTCGCGTCTGCTGCCTTAAGGTAAGCAGCAGCAAGATCGGGACAACCGAAGCCAAGAAACTTTAAGCCGAGATACTCTTGGTCGTCCTTGACCATGGATCCATCCCAGTCAGGACCCAAGGGCATCAGGCCCTCGGCAGGCAACGGGTCGGAGCCTGCCTGCTTCCGGCCAGGCATTCGCAGCACGGATGACACCGATGCTTTCCCGGATCGCTGTCCACAAATGTTGGTCGTCCTGAAGCTGGTCCGTGTCGTCGGCCTTGGTCTTGGCCAGCTTCTTCGCTGGCTTGCCACCACCAGAGGTACGTGGTTTGCCCATATTGATCCAAAGTGCCCTTTAAAGGCACTGACCCTCAAAACGTGGCGAAGCAAAAAATGCTGCGAGTCACAGAGCAAGTGTTAATGAGACGGAGCTGCGAAAGATTGGAGCCTCAACAGAAAGGCTGAGCAGGCTTGCTTTCACTCTTGCACCCCGACATCCTTCCCCAGCCAGCTGAGACACTTGGTCAGGACACGAAAGAAGTCTTTGATGGACACTAATGTTCCGGCCACGCCCTTCTTGACGAGCTTTTTCCGAGTGGCCTCCTGCACCTGAGGCACGACGAGGAAGGCACGCTTCCGGTTCCTTGGCTGGTTTGATTGCCAAAAGACTTTTTTCCATAGCTCGGCGTAGGACACAGGAGTTCATCCACATACCCCCCGCTCCGACAGCGGCGCAGGGCACGCTCGTCCGGCAACGGGGTCTCCAGACATACCCCCTACCAAGACGAAGAAACGACAAAGCAGGGATGTGACCAGGACCATTTTTGGACCATTGCTTCCCATCTTGACCCTGACATTCCACGTCAATCCATCCTGAACCAACAGGACTCCCAGCTCCCAAATTCTGAGAGAGCCCCTTGTCGCTGGAAGGGGTCCCCCAATGAGCCCCATCCTAGGACGACAGTGCAGGGCACGCTCGTCGGGCCAGGGGGTCCCCCAGCAGACTCCTTTGACAGACACCAAATGGCCGACACAACGGCGACAACACTTTTTCTGAACTTCTTGCCGCCAGAACACAGAAGCGTTCTCTTCTCTCTCATCATCCACCGCACGTTGGGGGCTAGGATGCTCTCGGTCAAGGCATTCTGCAGATGAACCACGATGCCCTTCAGCTTCTCGTGAACCGTGTCCGACATATAGAACTGGATGTTCTGTTCATAGGCCGGGAGCAGCCGCAAGATGGGGGCCGGCGGCTCGTGCGGCCGTTTCGCCGCATGGTTAACCCACTGTTCCGTCCCCACGAACCCGCCCAAGACGCGGATTGCGAGGCTGATGCATCCCTCCTTCATGTCGTCATCCTCTGGCACTGACGGATGGATGGCCCGGAGGAAACTATCACTATCACAGCAGATGTAGACGAAGTGATTTGGGCCGACCTTGGCAAGCAGCTTCTCCTCGGAGATATAGTTCAGGAAGTCAGAGCCACCATAAACAGAGCCACAGACCCCAAGGCGAAGCAATTGCTTTTTGACACGGGTCTTCGCCTCCTTGCAGCCACCAAGAACGACGAAAGCACAAAAGCCAGGAGGCAGGGTAACATGCTGCTCCTGCAAATGCCTTTGCTCCAGCCGGCCCAACTTCTCCTTGTTCTCAAGATGTTCCTTCTCGTGCTGCTTGAGCTTCTGGGCCGTCCCACAGAGGGGCCCAGACGTGAAGTCCCGCCAAAGGTCTGCCTGCAGCTTCTTCACAGCTTCCCGGAGGTCGACCTGAGTTTGGGTCTGCCTCGTCTTTGCACTGCATTTCGCAATAGCATCCAGGGCTTCCAAATTCAAAGTCTCCTCTCCTGTCTGGGATCCGGCAGCCTCAAGCTCAGCCTGCCGCCGCCTCTCAAAGGCATTCAATCCAGTTTTCCGCTTGCTGGAAACAAACTGCCTACTTGGCAATCGAGTCTTCTTCGTGTTGGCACCACTGCCCCCATGAATCTCTTTGTACTTTGTAATGATCTTGTAATACAGGGGACGGGGCTGCCTGCTCAAGGGCCAGCGTGAGGCGAGAGCAGCGGGCAACATTGGCGACGGCAGAGGTTTGGGCAGGCTCTGCACCTTCTTTTGTGCTTCCCCGATCGTACTCGTGCACGAACCGGCTTGCCATCGTCAGCCACTCGGTGGCGAGGGCAAGAAGTCGAATGCTGGAGGGCGACAACACCTAGGAGACAGTCTGAGAGCGGCGGCAACCAGCTGGCAAGGACGGCACTGTTTAGTTGTGTCCGAGGGGCTGCGAGCAAAGTCTCAGCCCACTTGCTTTTCTCATTATTCAGGGCTGCAAGCTGTGTCAAGAAGAGGACCACCGCCGGCAAAGATAGAATCAGTTTCTTCAGTGCAACAGTTATCGTGTCGAATCTCTGGGCTGCAAAGTGACAAGAAAAATCTTGCCCCAATACTTCGGCCACTCCCTCCAACTGGCTTCGCACTGCCTCCGAATACTTGGAACATAGTTTGTGAGAGTGTGCCAAAGCCCTCCAAAAGCTCCCTGGGTCGTGCTTGCTTTTCGTGGAGTAACGAAGAACAAAGAGCTCGATGAGCTGATTCAATCGACTGTCGGATTTGATGCTCTTTTCGAGCGACCTCTGAGCGCTGTGCATGCAGCACCTCGTTGTCGTACACAAGCAAGGCATGATTCCTCTGGCCTCGCGGGAAAACCACGGAGCAGGTACACCGAGTAAGTTAAAGCAACCGAGACCCCTGCGGCCGCAAACCGCCCGGCCAGTCCCTCTGCCCTTTCGCCGTCCACCGTGTAGACCTGTGGCACATTGGGCGGGCGTCTGATAGCATCTGAAGCGGGGCCCCGGCTCCTTGAAAGTCTTCGCAAAAGCCGAGCGGTCGCCCTCGTCCGGGCAAAATCTCTCCAGGGCCAGCTGGATGTGGTCAGCTTTTTGTAGCGATGTCTGGCAAAAGACAATCAACAACTAAAGGACATCACTGACATCACTGGAAAATTAGCAAATCGGCCTTCTGGCCATTGCACCGAGACAGTTCGAGGATGCGTCTGTGAACAACATAGTTGTTGTCAACCATCTTGACTTTCACCGCCAATGTGTCCTGGCTGACATCCTGCACGGCAAATACAATGAAATTAAGATGCGACCGCGACCACTGTGTCAACAGTCCTCGGCCCAACCAGCACTTTTGCATTTTTTGCAAGCCGCCGGTCCTGCAGGTCTATTTGAGGACATGCATGTCAATGTGTGCTGTGTGCCTCAAGGGCGAGCCTCCTCTCTCAATACGGCTGCCAGCGCTGAAATGATCTTCGAGTGCTCACACGGGGATGCTCTTTGTAGCGGGAAGTTACCTGGGTCTGAACGATGAGCCAGCTCGCACCGCGAGGCGTAGCCGACGGATTGCCCGCTGCGGGGCTCCATTAGGACCTGAATGGCCAAGTGAACCTGGCCGGCAGTCGGAGCCGTGGCATCGGCCTTCGCAGAAACGGCCTCCACGGGCTGCTCGACCAAGAGGCTGCTGACGTGGAGGTCGGTTTCCTCGTGGCGCTTTAAATCTTGAAGCTGAAGAACATCTCCGAAACGAGTAAGAGGCACCTCAGATGAGAAGGCAAAGGAAAGACGAGATGCCCAGAAAGTAAAAACCATGAGTTGCGTAGGAGGCGCTTCCCTGCAGACGGATCCCTTCGTGAACCGTACGAAGGGCGAGGAGGACTGCTCTGGGGCTGCACATTTCGCCCGGCACAGCTTGCAGCCTAGGCCCCAAGCCTGGGTCGGCGGTGCTTCGCAAAGCCAAGTGCTCTGCACATCACCGTCACGGTACAGCAGTCGGCCAAACCATTTGTCCTTGTTCTTCAAGAATTTGCACCGATTGCAACGTCGAACAGCCTCCTTGGCCTCGGCACAAGAAGACACGTCGATACCTGTCCGCACCGACGCAGTCAGCCGGAATGCGACAAGGGTTCTCAGGAGGTGACACTGCCAAACTTCTCCAAGCAACGTCGAGCATGCTCGCCTGGCCGAGGACAGGCGGATCGGCATATGGGCTTGTTGGTGCCTTCAGCCAATCTGAGGCACCGACCGTCAGGGGATCTGGCACGCATCCGTTCGTCGCCACGGCAGTGACAGGATGGGCAGGAAGAAAAGTCAAGTGTCTGATTTTTGCAATGCTGGGAAGTTGAAGGGAAATGCTTGCGAGAGTCTGTCGACCATGTCCTGCTGCTAGGCATTGATTACTCCTGCTAGGCATTGATTACTCCTTCGTGCCGTGCCAAGACATGCCACGACTCTGTCAGTCTGAGCAACACAAGACAAGCAGAACAACTTCGCAATCCTGCGTCATCCCTGACCCCTCCCTGGCCCACACCCCCGCGCAGGTCCATCGGACCCACCCTACAGGTCCGTCGGACCCGCCCTGAGAGCCAGTCGGCTCCCAAACCCCAAAACCCAAACTCCCTTTCAATCCAATCATCCCCGAAACTAGTTGGGCAAAGGCTCACTGCCACACCAAAAACAAAACGTAGCTCGATGCGGCGACAATGCTGAGCTCGATCGGCCTAGGCACAATGGTGTCCGGGTCTGGATCTTAGAACAATATGCATGCTTGGAAACGAGCGACCGATTCTGGAAAAAAATCCGAAAATTTAGAGGCGCGGTCGTTCCCCGCATTTCCGTACAACTTTAGGTGGGATTAGTGTGCTGCCGAGGACCCCACCTGGTGGGCCCCACCTAGCACGGCATGGAGCAGGCTGAGCTCAATCGGCCTGGGCACTAGAGGCCGACACAAAACAGCCGCAATCTGTGAGTTGGGAGCCAAACTGAGGGCGCAGGTTGATTACGCAGATCGGTGCTCCCTGATCTAGTGGACCCGCCCGACAGGTCCATCGGACCCGCCCCACAGTTCCATCGGCCCTGCCCTGAGAGCGACTCTCTTCTTTGAAGGTTCAACACCCGCACCAAGGTCCCGACGTGCGAGAATGTTGAGGTCTACTGGCCTGGGCGCAGAACAAGACCAGAGTGCCACCAAGGAATAAACCAGGCTGCAAACACAACCTGCTCGGCTCAAACCCCAAAAACCCATCATCTGTGTGAACCCGTTCGAACGAGTGCACCGAGGGCCCAACGCAAAGCACCACGAGCTCAGCCGGCCTGGGCCAATGAAGCGAAGAACACTGGCGTGGTGGCACCAAGGACCCGCTCAAACCCAGAGGCCCCAAACTCCTTTTCCCAAAACCCAAAACCCAAACCCTAAACCACCGTTTGTCGGCCCGAAAATGGGGGTTTGCAAACCCCCCTTTCAAACCCCCATTCCGAAAATGGGTGTTTGAAAGGGGGGTTTGCAAACCCCCATTTTCGGGCCGAGAATGGGGGTTTGCAAGCTGGGGCCAAGCATCACCGTCCACACCGAGGGCCCAACCTAGCGAGAATCCTGAGCAGCTCCGTCGGCCTGGGGTCAATCTCGAATCTCGAAATAACTGCTGACTTTCTAGCTGCATGAAGCCTCGTCTGGAAAACAGAACCCTGGAAGGCAGCAATCTTGCGATCTAACACCGAGGGCCCAACACAGTCAGAGTGCTCGGTAACTCAATCGGCCTGGACGAAACGAAGTGAAGTGCAAGACCAAATGTGCAACAAAGGCAAATGTGCAACAAAGGCAAAGCTCCACAAGCACGCCAACTCGCATCTCTCGCTTTTTCACTCCGCGACGGACAGCGAGGATCCACATCAGCTGCTCGAAGACGACGACGGAGACCTCACCCTCTTCTTTGACCGGGGCGCCATCACCTTGGCCTTCGCCATCTTGGGCTCGGCCTTCGCCTTCGCCATCTTGGGCACCACAGCCGCCGCCTTCGCCATCTTGGGCTCCGCAGCCTTCGCCATCTTGGGCTCCACAGCAGCCGCCTTCGCCATCTTGGGCTCCGCAGCCTTCGCCATCTTGGGCTCCACGGCCTTCGCCTTCGCCATCTTGGGCTCCGCCTTCGCCATCTTGGGCTCCGCCGCCTTCGCCATCTCGGGCCCCGCCGCCTTCGCCATGCCGGGCCCCGCCGCCTTCGCCGGCTGATGCAACTTCGGCACAACCGTCAGCGGGTCGATCTCAGAAAGCCAAATCCCCGACAGCAAAACAGTCAGGCTCTGCGACCAAAACGTTAACACGACAACCTCAGAAAGCTTATTCGGTAATTCGGCGAAGTGGCTGCGACATGAGGTCTCCTGTCGATCAGCCCTGGCACCCACCTCTGCAGAACATCCATCGCCACGGCTCGCCTTTCCAGAAGCCGGCTGGGGCGATGTGCATGCTGTAACTACGGCCACTACGGTTGATTTTGACACCCTGCCTTTCCACGTTCTCCTGCTCGTAGATGGCTAAAAGGGCCGGGATCACAACGCCCTGGTCCGGAAACCCAGGTTCGACCCTCTGCAAAAGGGTGAGGACCTGTGTGCGGAGGGAGTCGCCCTGTTCCAGGAACATCTTGAATCGCTGCGCTATGTTGTCTTTCCGGAAGCAGTCCTCGCAGCCGATGGCTGCTGTTGCAGGTCAACAAATCGACGTAGAGGTCATGCAGCTCCTTAGTTGAACAAGAACTGCTAAGTATGATCACTTTAATGTAGTTTCGAAGCTACAGTAATCAAACCCAGGGAAAAAAGCACATGCCCAAAGTGCAAACCAAGCTCTGGCCTCATCTTGCCCAAGCCCTTCCCAGCACCCTCGGCAGCAGCTGGACGGCCCTTAGCTTGTGCAGATGCAAATCAGCTTTCAGCAGAGAGCTGCCTTCTACCCAAACACAGATGCAGAGAGGTCACCTCCCATGACGACGAGCTGGAAGCCGGAGGCAGTGCAGCCTCACCCGGACGGCCCTTGGCTTTGTGCAGATGCAAGTCAGCGTTCAGCACAGAGCCGCTGCCTTCTACCTTCTACCCAATTACAGATGCAGAGAGGTCACCTCCCAGCTTTGACTTGGAGCCGGAGGCGGTGCAGCCTGAGAACACAGAAGCCTGAACAATGCATCTTTCTTTGTAAAGCTGCCATGCTTTCGTCCAAGAAGCTGCCGGGTTCTGTATCGGAACAACCTGGCAACATTAGGGAAGTCAAGACAAGCGTTTCAGTCAAATGCAGAACACCACAACCACAACACATCGATGCAAGCAGGGGGCTGCTGGCGGTTGAGCAGCCTTCGCCTTCGCCAAATCGCCCAACTGTCGGGAGATCTCGGCCAACTGTTCCTCTCAGTTTCTCGAAATTGACAGAACCCCAGTGCAACTGGAACGTGACAACTAGTGTCATGGGCCCCAGCCTG